CGCGGGGTGACTTCGTGTGTCTCGGCTGCAAGTACTGTAAACGTCGGATCGCCGCAGTGATATCTAGTGGGCCGTGATTGTCATTTTCTCTTCGTGGTACGTCGCCATGTTATTCCCTTATCTTTGTGTCGTTGATACAAAGATTTGTCAAACTTTTCAGACGATTAACTCCTGTCTCGACTCTTTCGCTGGCACCAGTATGTCTGAAGTCCAGCCAGGTCCAGCACGCGGCATGATACGCCGTGTAGAAGTACACAGTCGAGCTTTGCGTCATACCGCTGGCTCAGGGCGTGCATGGGTACGCTCATGAAATGACCTGCGGACGGCCGCGGCTGTAGCGACTGTCAAATTCCGAGCTGCTGTCCTAGGATTTGGACGCCGAACTGTCACAGATCAGTTCCTAGCGCTGGTATGCCGGGCGGTAACCACGTTGTCGCTAACCAGTGCGGTCGGTAGAGAACGACTGCGGTGAGTCACCTCTCACCAAGTACTACGAGCATTTTATCTTTACGGCCAGACAGACGTATTTGATACCCTCGGGATCTGACACGAATGACAACAAACTTCCGACAGGCGCCTCATCCACTGTTGAAAGAGCCCGTTTTATATTTCCCAGAAGTACCAAGGAGCGTTCCATGGGCCTCTGTTATACAAACATTTCGCCGCTGCGGCTCAGTCCTGAGCGCAGGAAAGCACAGCGCTTCGCCTGAGAGCAAAGCGTGGGCGGTGCGATTCTCAGATGTTTTTCAAGGTGTGTCGCCTCGCGAGCCCGCATGAGCGCCAAAGATGTCAACGCTCACGGTCGGATATTAGCTGAGATGGCGTTGGCGACGCTGCAGGGTACACCGATCTCCGGAGTCACTCCGCCGATTGTACTCGCCTTGTCGCACACGCCCGATCTGGCGGAGGCATCGCCCCAAGATCCGCTGCTACCTCAGTTCGTGGAAACGGACCAGCCCGGACATCCCCTGCGAAACGCGTCTGCACAGGACATCTTCCGTTGGTTCCGGAATGCTGGTCCGTTGGTCTCTGTTCGCGTCGATGTTGATGTCGGACACGAACATCGGACGTGCGTCGTGGAATACTGGGAAGAGAAGCACGCGAATTACGCCAGAATGAACCGCTGCTCCCTGGATGCAGCGTTGAATGCGATGCCGGCCTTTGTCCTCCGTACTTTCGATCCTCGCAACCTATACTGTGCCGTAAGTTGTTCCAAACTCTCGGCCCTACGCAGATGTGTTTACCCCACAGCTCACTGATAGAACTTGGGACCGACATTCAATCAAGAAAATTTCAGCGAGTATTTTGGAAAGGTCGGTCTCCCATGGCATCGTGGAAACCAGTAGCTCATTTTTAGTTCTACCGGCGGCTCAGTTTGGCGAGATCTTAGTGTATGTGTCTATACGTCTGCTTATGATGCTCACTAACACTATTATTTTCAGAGCGCGTCTGATGAACGTAGGCGAGGCTAACGCCTACGGCTTTGTATTATTCCAAACACGAGAACAGGGTAAGCAGAAGCTTGGCTCCGCCACAGGTAGTATTAAAAGCTCTGGCGTTCACGCAGCGAGCAGAGCCATGAGCGAAACAAACGGAAAGCTTGTCGGAAACTCTGCCTTACAGGTTCACTACCATGAGCCACGAGGAAAGTGGCAGTCCAGCTTCCGCATCCCAACCAACGCACGGTTCGGCCATAATGTGCATACCCAACCGGAGGCAAAGGGCGCAAAGGTTTGCGTGACCCCCGGTGGCTTGCTATGTGAATTCATGCTAATTATGTTACCCAGGCGCAGGCGAGCCAAGGCGAGCAAGAAGTGAGCAAGGCGGCAGAAGAGGCGCGACGTCTTGAAGAGGAGGAACGGAAGAGGAAAGAAGCCGAGAAGAAGAAAGAAGAGGCGAGGAGGAAGGAGGAAGAAGATAAGCGTAAGAGGGAAGTGGAAGAGGCACAGCGGAAGAAGAAAGAGGCAGAGGAACGTCGGAAGAAGGAAGCAGAGGCACAGCGGAAGAAGAGAGAAGAAGAGGAACGACGAAAAAGAGCGGCAGAAGAAGCCCTGCGAAAAAAGAAAGAAGAAGAGGAACGACGAAAGAGAGCGGCAGAAGAGGCCCTGCGAAAGAAGAGGGAAGAGGAAGAAGCTCTCCGAAGAAGAAAGGAAGCAGAAGAGGCAGAGCGTCGCGCTCGGGAAAGACAGATAAAAAGGGAGGCCGCAGCGCGCCGACGGAAGGACGCTGAACTCGTCCATTCGGTGGCGGAAGCGAAGGTCGAGGAGGTTCAGCAGGAACACAAAACAGCGAGGGGTCGCCTTACGGCAGCGACAAGCGAAGCTGACGCTGCGACTGCTGCGCTCGCGGAAGGGTATAAGGCGGTTGAGGCTGCAGAACGTATCCTTGCAGAGGCGAGGAAGCGGCAGGCGGAGGCCGCACAACGTGCAGGCAACGCGGCTATTGAACGTCTGCATGCACAGACCCACGAGCAAGAGGCGTCGATTCGGGTACAAGTCGCCCTACAGGACGAGGGAAGAACACGGTGGGAACGAGAGACAGCAGAGTGGGAGGAGCGCACGATATTGGAGGAGATTGCGAATGCCGACGCGGAGACAAGGAGGCAGCAGGAGCTATTCGAGTCCATGAGGAAGCTGAAGGAGCTGCGAGAGCAGGAAGAGGCGGACCGGCGGGAGAGCGAGGAGAGAGCGAGGCGAGAAGAGGAAGCAGACAATCTTCGCAGACTGGAGGCGGCGCGGTTTGTTCGAGCCGAGCTAGAACGACAAGCTCGTGAAGAGGCAGAGCGGCTCGAGCGGGCAAAGAAGGAGCATGCAGAGGGAAATAAGAGGGAGCTGGAAGAGCTCGAGGCCAGACGCCAAAGGATCTACGAAGAAGCGTCAGCAGAAGAACAGCAGCGCTGCAGGCAGAGGGACTTCGCTCGATGGAATCTGCACAAGTTCACCCTCTGGACCAAAAAGCGCAGTGTCGAACGTTTTGTGGCCGTCAGCACCGAATTCGACAAGACGCAATTTTGCGAAACCCAGCCGCTCACGTTCGAGAGCATACCGTGGCCGGTTCTGCATTCACCCTTACACCTCAAGCTGGAGGACATCGAATGGCACGCGGTGGAGGAGTTTTTCAGGATGGCCAGAATGGTAATTGGGGAGGTCGAGTATAAAACCATGATTGTGAAGGCTCACCGTGGATTTCATCCCGATAAGTGGAGATCTCGGGGCATATTGAAGACAGTCTTGGACGAGGAGATGCGGAAGCAGTGGGAGGAAGCGGGGAATGTTGTCGCGCAAGCAATTACCCCGCTCTGGCTAGCCTCGAAGGCGAGGTGATAGCACCGGCTCTTCAATTCCTATGAGATATTCTGTGGCCATCGTTTCCCGATTTTACCTCCACCATCAGCAAAAAAATTACCCAATGATCTAATCTGGCCAAGCTAGATAAAGGCACCCATGAATATAAGTCAACCCACCCTGAGATTGCCATTGCCATAGTAGATAGAGCACCTGTATGATTTCTAAGGCTTACCAGCCTGGGGACCTTTATCATTCAGTTAAGGTTGGCAATGCATTACCAGGGAGTGCCAGGCTGGGTGGCATTTGCCAGGGCGCTCGCAAGATTTATTCAATAATCGGATTTTTGGGGGCCAGCTCGCACATAAAAATTTAAGATAGCAATTTATATATTCACAAAACTACAATAGGTACAAAACTCGTAGATAAAATACAACGGCGTCCAGAGGGTAGCGCTTTCGCAGTGAATGTGAGCGCCAGACAAAAAAGGCTGTCCCCGGAGCGGCCGTATACTTAGTGCACGATGCGCGTGACTTGTACCCTAGACGAGTTATGCACATAAATACCTATGTACGTAGACACCCGCAGACTGCAATGCGTACCGTGAGGATATTTCGCGGATCCCGAAGCACAAGAACGGGCCGTACAGCCTGTAGGAGCACTGTCAGTATGCGAGGTTTTAAAGACTGACTCAGAAAGACCTACGCCCCGTGAGTTGACGCTAACGCGCTCGCCGTTGCAAGACGGACTGGGCAGAGTCGTAGTTGGGGTGCTGCGATACAAGCAGGCACCGCTTACTGAATGAAAGGGCGATGTCTTACGAGGGCCCTGTACATGA